CTTTACCTGGCTTTGGTATTAGAGTGATGCTGGCTTCATAGAAGGAATTTGGAAGTTCTCCCTCCATTTCTATCTTTTTGAATAACAAGTAGTATTGGATGTAGATCTTCTTTAATGTCTGAAAAAATTCGGCTGTAAATCCATCTGGTCCTGGGCTTTTTTTAGTCAGGAGATTTTGTATTACTGTTTCAATTTCCTTATGTGTTATGGGTCTGTTTAAGCTGTTAATCTCTTCTTGGTTTAGTTTTGGTGGTTCCCATGCCTTTAGATATCTGTCCACTTCTTTTAGGTTTTCAAATTAAGTAGCATATATGTTCTTAAAGTATTCCCTTCTAATGTTCTGGATCTCTTTGGTGTCTGTAGTGATGTTTCCCCTTTAATCCCTGATTTGTTCATTTCGAGGTGTTCTTTCTTTCTTGTGGTTAAATGGGCTGGCAGTCTATCCTTCTTGTTTATCTTTTCAAAGAACCAGCTCTTGGATTCGTTGCTTCTTTGTATTGTTTTCTTTGTTCCTATTTCATTAATTTCTGCTCTGATTTTTGTTATTTCTTCTTATCTTCTTGGTTTGAGTTTCATTTGTTGTTCCTTTTCAAGTGCCTTGAGTTGCAATGCTAAGTCATTTTTTGGAGATCTTTCTGATTTCTTAATGTAGGCACTTAGAGCTTTAAATTCCCTCTAACAACCGCTTTCAGTGTGTCCCAGAAGTTTTGTTGTGTTGTATTGTCCTTTTCATTTAGTTCCAGGAATACTTTTATTTCTTTCTTAATTTCTCCTTTGACCCACTCATCATTCAGGAGTGTGTTGTTTAATCTCCGTGTGTTCATGTGGTTACTGAGGATTCTTCCGGTGTTGATTTTAAGCTTTATTACATTGTGGTCTGAGAGAATGCATGAAAATATTCAGTCTTTTTGTATTTGTTGAAGTTTGTTTTGTGCCCCTGTACATGCTCGATTTTGGAGAAGGTTCCATGGGGTGCTGAATAGAAAGTATAGTCTTTCGTGCTTTGGTGGAATATTCGGTAGATGTCTGTTAGGTCCATTTCATAGATGGTGTTGTTTAATTCAGATGTCTCTCTGTTAATTCTCTGTCCTGTTGACCTATCTAATAGTGACAATGGGGTATTGAAGTCCCCTACTATTAATGAGTTGGGATTAATCTGGGTCTTAAAGTCCCATATTACTGTTTTTATGAAGTTGGGTGCATCATAGTTTGGTGAATATGTGTTCATGATTGTAATATCTTCTTGGTTAACTGTTCCTTTGATCAGAATGAAGTGACCCTCCTTATCTCTTCTGATTGGTTTTACTTCGAAATCTATTTTGTCGGATATTAGAATTGCAACCCCTGCTTGTTTCTTAGTGTCATTTGCTTGGAATATTCCTTTCCATCCTTTCTCCTTAAGGTAGTGCCTGTCCTTGAAGGTGAGATGGGTTCTTGCAGGCAGCAAAGAGATGGATTTTGTTTCTTAATCCATTCGCTCAGCCTGTGTCTTTTGACTGGGGAGTTCAGTCCATTGGTATTTAAAGTTATTAATGAAAGGTGTATTGATTCCTGTCATTTTGATTTCTGTTCCTAATCTTGGTGTAATTGTGTGTTTCCACAGTTATAACTTCATTTGTCTGAATGGCTGATTTTGTGGACATGAATTCTTTCAGCCTATTTATGTCATGAAAGTTTTTTCTTTTGTCTTCAACTATGATAGACATTTTGGCTGGGTATAGTAATCTGGGTTGGCATCTGTGGTCATTTAGAGCTGGGAATATTTAGGTCCAGCCTCTTCTGGCTTCCATAGTTTGCTCTGAAATGTCATCTGTAATTCTGATGGGTTTTCCTTTATATGTGACTTCTTGTTTTTCTTTTTCAGCTTTCAGTATTGTCTCTTTGTTCTGAATGTTTAGTGTTTTTACTATGATGTGTCATGGAGAGTTTCTTTTCTGGTCCTGTCTATTTGGTGTTCTATATGCTTCTTGTATTTGTATGGCCATGCCTTTTTTTTAATTTTGGGAAATTTCTTCTACAATCCTGTTGAAGATCTGTTCCATACCATTATCTCAAGATTCTTCTCCTTACTATATGCCTATGATTCGTATGTCACACATTTCTTGCATATACCATTCTTGTGTTTTTTTAAAATTTTTCATAATCTTTGCTTGAGTGGTCTAATTCCTTCACTTTATCTTCGAGTCTTGATATTCTGTTTTCCATTTCATTCATCCTGGTTGTGAGGCTTTCTCCTGTCGTTTCTAATTGGCTTACTGAGTGTTTCACTTCCTTCTTCATTTCACCCTGAGTATTCTTCAACATTTCTCTTGTCTGTACTCATTCAGAAATTTCTCCCTATCTTCTTTCAGTTCTTTTATTTCTTTGTTTGTGTGTTCTTTAAATTCACTTAATTCTTTTATCATGTTTATAATTGTTCTTTTGAGTTCCATGTCCTGCATTATCTCTAGGGGGATCTCACTGTCCTCCTCTAGAGGACTACTGGTATTGGTGGAGATATGTTATTTTGGTTTTTCATGTTATTATTTTTTTTCTCTGTGATTTTGACATGTGAATTTCTTTAGTAGTCTTTGATTCTTTCAAGCCTTTCTTTGTTGAGTTTAGATCTGCTTCTTTTTGTAAACTTTATGTGCCTTTGTGGTTTACTTGTTAGGCATGAAAAGCTGGTTGGTCTAGACTTCAGGTTCTCTCTTTGGATTTTATACTGGAGTGGCCTAATTGCTTCTGTCTTGAGGAATTCCCACAGAGGCCCAAGTGAGATGAGGCTCAGATGATATTAGGCTTTATCCTAAGGTATGGGTCCCTCCAGGAAAGGTGCTGCCCTCAAGAATTTGGGGGCTGGCCTGGTATGGGAAAAGGGCCCAGGATAAATGCTTGTCTCAGGAAGCTTGTGGCTGTGCCGCCAAGGGAAGTAAAGGGAGGTGAGGGCAGGACCAAGCCTAGAGAGTTCCTGATGGCTGCAGGGAGGAAATGGGTTGGTACTGATGCAAAGGATCAGGAAGCCTTGGTGGCTCTGGGCTGGGAGGTTAGCCCCAGTGTCTGGGGTGCCAAGACAAGAGAGGGACCTGTACCCAGCCTAGGAGAAGAGACTCGGTGGGGAAGCTGGGAGGGTGAAAGAGGCTGGGGGAGTTCAAGGCATTCTGGGTGCACTAGACTTATTCAGGGAAGGTGCTGGTACCAGGACACCTGGGGGCTGTGCAGCCCAGGAAGCATAGGGATATGAGAGTAGAATTATTTCTTATAACTGTAATTTTAATGTTACCTTTTAATTTAATTTTCAGATATCCCTATAAATTCTACCCTTTCTTCAAGGGGCAACTATTTTACATATTGAATACAAAGTTGCTTCTGTCGTTAAAGATATATTAGTTCAACTATTTGTGTATAATTTTTAAGTGGGTTGCTCTGATAACCTAATTATGAAGTGATAGACTATGGGTAAATTTTTGGTTTCTAAATTGAGTTTTACAAGACAACCTTACTCTACCCAAGATGCCAGGCCGAGTGCACCACGACTGCCAGAATCCAGTCTGTGATGCCAGCGGCCAAGCCTGCAGCTCCTGCACCTGCTGTGCCCCACCACCACCCCCAAGCACACATCTCTATGAGGAGCTGGGAGGCAGTGCCATATGAGTATTCAGAGACCTTTGAAGAGTGGGGTGACTGTGTGGTGAGGTTTACTTTAATTATAGTATACAGCTACTTGTGACAGTTGGTTCAGTAATGATGCATAAGCAGATCATGGAGTGATACCAAAACAATACAATTTTAATAAAATATTGTCGTTAAAGAGAATCTTGACCAAAATTTGTTCCATATAATATTTGTAGAAAATACAAATACTTCAACTGCCAATTTGTATTATCTATGTTTTAAAATAATTAAGAAGAATTTAAACAGCAGAAATAATTTTAGTTCAGGATTGTAGCATGATGTCAATTTCTCAATCGTGATTTTGAACTCAATGAAAACCGTCCCTTCTGTCTTCTGGAACTGTATTTTTTTCTAATTTGGAAAGGGGATTATCTCTTTATTCTCTTAAAAAAATTAATTTTGCATCAGATCAGAGAGACCGTTAGCTACCAGAGTCACTGAGATGATATATAATGGAAAGGTACTGCCTGAGATGCAGCGAACACCTTCTGTATATAAAAGTGGGCTCTGAGTATCTACCAGCAAGACAGAGGATACACAGTCAAAGGCCAAGATACCTGTCTACACTTTGTAGAAATGTGGTTTATATAGCAGTGAACAGTTTGTGTAGACCTGGGTACTTTGCTCTAATATACAAATTGGGGGATGGAGGAGTAACCAAAAGGAGAACAAAAAGCCAAACTAATGATTGGCATTTTTCAAGGAAAATTTATAATGCTTTCTCATAATTAGAGACTTTCCTGTTCTGCCTTGTTGGGACTAGGAATGTAAAAGAAATGTTATGCTTCAGTAGATTAGTTAGGCTGTACTTTAAAATAGTAATGATATTCGTGAAAACATCTTTCTCATGAAAGCTGTGTCACAACCTGTTTCCTTACGTTTCATTATCTTCTTTTCTTTCAAGTCTTTTCCTTCTCTACCATTTTGAACAAAGCAGGGGAAATAACTCAATCCCAGAAGACAGGACTAGTCATCACACTGGGATGCCCTTTTCTTCCAGTACCACTGAGGCTCATGAGCCAGCTCTAGAGGGATCAGTTAAGAACAACCAGCCCAAACCAGAAAGGATATTCACATTTCTTCCTGATGAGGATGACTTAAGTGCCCATAATCACTTTCCTAAAGAAAGTATCAGTCAAAGATCCACAAATTCAGACATTTCACTGAGAACAGATTTTGAAGACCTATATTTACCCCAAACACAAGTCAAGAGTCAGTCTCTGAGGGGCCCAAGAGAAAAGATTCAGAGGCTATGGAATCAGCCTGTGAGCTTTCCTAGGAGGCTGATGTGGAAAGCTCCAAACAGACCAGAGACCATAGACCTTGTGCAGTGGCAGATCTCCAGGCAGAAAGCTGAAGGCGGAAACACTGGACTGCACCCAACCCTGAGAGGTAGCAGCAATCCACTTCTTACAGCAGAAGATGCCGGTCAGTCAGAGAAAGAAAGGAGGCCCAGAGAAACCCCGATTACACAACAAGCAGAACAGCTGAAATCTCTCTCTTCAGACTCTTCTTTTTCCTCTTCTTGGTCCCACTTTTCATTCTCCACTCTGCCAACTATTTCAAGAACTGTGGACCTGCAGTCGGAACCTCAAGTAGTCAGTTCTGCTGACGGCGCCTTGGAACGCTCTCCTCCAAGACCTGTTCAAATTCTCTAGTCTTTAAGAGATATGCCCCGACTTGTATGTTAGATACAGAAACAAAGGGCACTTTTGAAAAGGTTTTCCATCCCCCTAACTTCGCTATTTCCTCTCCTTCCCCTGCACAGCCTCCTCCTCCTCAACCGCCTGTTGTTTTCACTCCTTCACCTCTGCCTCTTCCTCCTCCTAATCCTCCACTTCTTACAGTTTGTCTTCCGACTTCTGCACCCCCTGCCTCTTGTCCTCGGCATCCTCGATCATCACTTCCCCCTGTTCCTCCACCATCAGCTCCAGTTCTTTGTCCACTGCCTCCTCCAGCTTCGGTTCTGCCCACAAACAGCACCTGTAAAAATGCAGTACCACCTGTTAAATGCAGTACCAGTATCACACACGCCAAAGAAACTAAATTTTCTATGGCACAACGACCAGCATCCAAACCTCGGTGTCCTACAGAGCCCCACAGACAACAAAAAGGCATCCTCAGACACATGAAAAACCTAGCAGAACTTGAGAAGTCCATGTCTAACATGTACACTCACATAGAAAAAAACTGTCCACCTACAAATACCCCCAAACTTCATGCTGTTTGCCCTCCTCAGAAAACAGATATGGAAGCCAAATGTGACCAGAGTCATGAGATGTTGGTCAGGGTTGTTGAGGGAATTGACAAGGAACCTCAGAGTCAGTCAACATCGACGTAATGTTGCTTCTCCTGTTTTAACTGGGAAAATCTTTTCTTGATCATAATCTTCAAGTGGAACATCAAATTTGAACATCAAAGAAGATTCCACTATTTTTATCCCAAACTCAATGCAATGCTGTTTGTT